TGCGCGCGCTTTTTAGTGTGCGCCGCTTGTTTTACGCGAACAAGCACCGGCTTGACTCGCTGCTCGGTTTTCCTTCGAAGCAGCGTGGCAAGACCTTTGATGATGCTGATGACCTTCCGTCCTGTCCCTCCCCTGCAATCCAATCGATTGAATCGATAGCAATTCAACCGATTGCAATCGAATCGCTTGCAATCCAATGGACTGCGATCGAATCGCTTGCAATCCAATGGATTGCAATCGATTGCAACGCAAGTGCATCATTCAACTCGTCACGTGCCAACGCCCGGGAACGAACAACATATTATTATGTTATACTCGTGCCATGCGCAAGTCAGGAGTCCACAATATACAATCCTGGGGGACACAAACATATTTTATTATACTCTACTCCTCCCTTTGCGACGCCCACCCCTCGCTCCTCTTCCTACCCTCCGCGCCCTCCGCCGCCTCCATATCCTCTCCTCTTTCCCTTCCCTCCCCTCCCTCCCCTCACTCCGCCCCTTCCGCTCCCTCCGCCCTCTCCCCTCCATCCCCTCCCTTCTCTCTGTCCCCTCCCTCCCCTCCATCCTCTCACTCCCCTCCCCCCCCTCCATCCCTCTGCGTTGCGACCGTTTTTTGGGGTCTTTGTTTCGGGTCCCCGCCCGCGGGCACGGTTGCAGCAGATGCTGCGTTGCCGCGGTTGGGTGTTGTCTTACGTCTGTCGTTTGTGAATTTCGTTTTGCTTGTTTTCCGGGTGCACGCGCTTGTTTTGCGCGCGCTCAGGTGGGCACCGCTGAGACGAGCGCCCCGGCTGCGGCAGCGCTCCTCGGCAAGGCCGCGTTGGTTCAGGCGACCGGCAGTCCGGGGGTGCAGTGCGAGCGCCGGGTGGTCGCCGTCAACCTGGGCGGCTGGGTTAAGGCGCTCGGCAGAGAAAGCTTGCGGGGCGGGATTTCTTTTGCTCCTCGTTTCGCTGTTGCGCCTGGGTAAGGTGGGCGGCGACGCGGCGGACTCGCAGAACCTGAGCGGTCCCTGGGTCAGCCCGGCCTTCTTCAGGCGCCGGGGTGCCAACATAGGAATAGTTAGTGGGCGATGAGATGTGTGTGTGTGTGTGTGCGTGCGTGTGTGTGTGTGTGCGTGTGTGTGTGTGTGCGTGCGCGCGCGCGCGTCAATGCGGTGCGCGGTTGCTTGCGGCTTCCTCCCAGGCTCTTGCAGGACGGTGGTCCGCCGGAGGCGGACTACGTTTCGCCCGCGGCCGTGGCGAGCCGCTCGCGCGGTGGAACGATCGCGCTCACCGACGGCGGGGGCCGGGCGCCGACGACGCCTCCGCAGCGCGCGCTTCTGGACTGCGTTGGTGTTCTGTGGTCGCATTGTTGTTTGCGTTGTTGGTGTTGCTGTTCAGTCGTGCGGAGTACTTCATTATTGTTGTTTGGGCGCGTCCGCCCTTCTTCTTCCCGCTTTCTCCGCTCCGAGATCAGTGTTGTTTCTTCCCTCCCCCTTCTGCGTTGTCTGAGGGGATCGGCGGCGCCCCCTCGAGCGTTCTGAGGGTCGGCGGCGGCCCCGCTCGCCCGGCGACGCGACGCGGGTCTACGTCGCCAACTTGCCGTGGGAGCTGGCGGAAGCGGAGGCGCGCCGCGACTTTGGGCGCGCTGGCCGGGTCGGGCAGGGCGACTAAGCAGAGTGTTGTTTTTCCACTTTCTGTGCGCGCTGCAAAAAGCATGCAGAGGCGGGGCCCTTCAGTTGTGCACGCGCGCGCCATCGGGTCAGCCAGGTCGAATGGTTCTTCGACACTCGCGGCCGTTTCAACGGCTCCGCGGTGTTTCGCTACGCCGACGCAGAGGCGGTTCCATTGCAGGGCGAATGCTTCCTTCTAGCGCGCGTCTGCGCGACGCGGTGGCATGTTCAGAGACGCGCTCGCGCGGCGCTGCGGTGGGCCCCCGCCGATTCGCGCGGCATTGTTGCATAGAAACGGGGGCTCTCTGGTGTCCTCTCCCTTCCCTCCCCTCCATCCCCTCCCTCCCCTGACTCTCCTCCGCCCCTCCCCTCCCCCCCATCCATCACTCCCCTCCCTCCTGTCCACCCCTTGCGTTCAAATCGGTTTTAATCGAATCGATTGCGCTTCAACCGATTGCAATCGCAAGTCCAACCCATTGCCACCAACCCCCCCGCCCCCCCCCCCCCCCCCCCCTCTCCTCTCACCTCCCCCGCGCGAGCCAGAGAGGAGAGGGGGGGGGGGTTTCAAACCCCGCCCCCCTTCCCTCCCCCCCCCCCCCCTTCCTCCCTTTCGCGCCGCGGTGGGGGCGGGGTGTGTGTGTGCGCGGGGGGGGGGGGGCTCCAAAACCCCCTTCCCCCCCCCCCCCCCCATCAGCAGTGGCAGCCGCAGTAGAAAGAGTAGTAGCAGTAGAAAAGATAAGTAGTAAGTAGTAATATTAGTAGAAGTAGTATAGTAGTAGTAGAAGTAGTAGTAAGTAGTAGTAGTCGTCGTCGTCGTTGTACTAGTACTAGGGGTAGTTGTAGTCGTAGTAGTAGTAGTAGTAGTAGTAGTAGTAGTAGTAATCGTCGTCGTCGTCGTCGTCGTCGTCGTCGTCGCCGTAGCGGTCGTAGCAAAGTAATGGTAATAGCAATCGTAGTCGTAGCAGCAGTAGAAGTAGTAGCAGCAGTACTAGTAGTAGGAGTGCCAGTTTTATTATTAGTAGTTGTTTGCTGTGTAGATGCCGTAGTAGAAGTAGTAGTAGTAATAGTAGCAGTAGCAGTAGTAGTAGTAGTAGTAGTAGTAGCAGCTGTAGTTGTTGAAGTAGCATTATCCGTAGTAGTAGTAGCAGCAGTTGTAATAGGAATAGTAGAATAGCCGCAGTGGTAGTAGAAGTAGTAGTAATCGTAGTATTCGTCGTCGTCGTACAAGTGGTGCCGTAGTCGTAGTAGTGTTGTTTGTCGTAGTTGTAGTAGTAGGAGTAGTAGCCGCCGTCGTCGTTTCAATCGCGGTAGTCGTAGCAGTAGCAGTAGTAGTAGTAGTAGTAGTAGTAGTAGTAGTAGTAGTAGTAGTAGTAGTAGTAGTAGTAGTAGTAGTAGTAGTAGTAGTAGTAGTAGTAGTAGTAGTAGTAGTAGTAGTAGTAGTAGTAGTAGTAGTTAGTTAGTAGTAGTAGTAGTAGTAGTAGTAGTAGTAGTAGTAGTAGTAGTAGTAGTAGTAGTAGTAGTAGTAGTAGTAGTAGTAGTAGTAGTAGTAGTAGTTGTATAGTAGTAGTAGTAGTAGTAGTAGTATTGTAGTAGTAGTAGTAGTAGTAGTAGTATGTAAAGTAGTAGCGTGGAGGTGGTGTTGTATGTGTAGTGTAGTAGTAGTAGTCGTAGTAGTAGTAGTAGTAGTAGTAGTAGTAGTAGTAGTAGTAGTAGTAGTAGTAGTAGTAGTAGTGGTAGTAGTAGTAGTAGTAGAAGTAGTAGTAGCAGCTGTAGTAGTAGTCGTAGTAGTTCGTGTAGTAGTCGTAGCGTAGTAGTAGTAGTCCTAGTAGTAGTCGTCCTAGTAGTAGTAGCGCTCGTCGTAGTAGTAGTAGTAGTACTGGTAGTAGTGGTAGTCGTAGTAGTCGTGGTAGTCGTAGTAGATGTAGAAATAGTGGTAGCAGCAATCGCAGCAATAGTAGTAGTAGTAGTAGTAGTAGTAGTAGTAGTAGTAGTAGTAGAATTATAGTAGAGTAAAGTAGAGTAATCGTAGTAGTAGTAGTAAGTAGTAGTAGTAGTAGTAGTTAGTAGTAAGTTTAGTAGTAAGTAGTAGAGTAGGAAAAGAGTAGTAGGAGTAGGAGTAGTAGTAGTAGTATAGTAGTAGTAGTAAAGAAGTAGTAAGTAGAGTATAGTAGTAGTAGTAGTAGTAGTAGTAGTAAGTAGTAGTAAAGTAGTAGTAGTAGTAAGTTAGTAGTAGTAGTAGTAGTAGTAGTAGTAATAGTAGTAGTAGTAGTAGTAGTAGTAGGTAGTATAGTAGTAGTGTAAGTAAGAGTAGTAGTAGTAATAGTGGTAAGTAGTAGGAAATAGTGTAGAGTACGAGTAGTAGTCCGCGTAGAGTAGTAGTAGTAAGCATGTAGTAGTAGTAGTAGTAGTAGTAGTATTAAGTAGTAGTAGTAAGGAGTAGTATAGTAGTAGTAAGTAGTATAAAGTATAATATAAGTAACTAGTAGTAGTAGTTAGTAGTAGTAGGAAGTAGTAGTAGTAAGTAGTAGTAGTAGTAAGAGTAGTAGTACTAGTAGTAGTAGTAGTAGTAGTAGTAGTAGTAGTAGTAGTAGTAGTAGTAGTAGTAGTAGTAGTAGTAGTAGTAGTAGTAGTAGTAGTAGTAGTAGTAGTAGTAGCAGTAGTAGTAGTAGTAGTAGTAGTAGTAGTAGGCTTGGGAGATGTTTGAAGGGTTTCGACCGGGCAAAGTGAGATAGAGTTGCCTTCAATGCCTGGGGTCGGGGCTCAATGGGGGCAGCCGCGGGCTTTTCGATCCTCCGCTTTCTTCTTCTCGACCCTCGATCTCAGAGGAAGATGAGACACGGGCAGGGGATGTTGAAGGAATACGGTGGAACAGATGAGGACGAACAGTGAGTCTGAAGACGCAGATGGATAGCCATAGTACATCGACGACATTGCGTCAGGTGCGCCCTTCATCGATACGCGGCCGTTGAGAAGCTCGCGGCCGAAACTGTGATCCCAACGGCCCTGACGCAGCCAGACACTGCCAATGAGATGCTGAGCTGGTGCCGCCAGCAGCCAACAGCGCAGGAATATGTATTGTTCCTGAGTTCCGCACGCCACCCGCCGCAGGCGGAAGACGAGACATTCGCGTTGACACCCCCAGCGAGGGAGGAGGGGCGCGAGTGTGAGAGGCGAGTATGGAGTGCGAGTGTCGGCATGGAGTGTGGGCGCGAGTGTGTTCGGCGAGTGTGGGCGTCGAGTGTGGCGCGTTTCTGGCCTGGAGCTAATGCTTGCCCCTCAGACATACACAAACCCCAGCGCGGGAGGAGGGAAAGGAGGCGTTCCAACAAAAGGGGGCGCGGGTCCCTGAGCCCGCCGCTGCGCGCGAGGCGAGCCGCCGGTGCTCGCGAGGACGCCGCTGCGCAGGTGCCGGCCGCCGCCCCCGCCGCTTTCGTTCGCCGCTATTTTCCGAAGAGGAATTTTCACACAGACACGATGAATCGTCGATTCCCCAGAAAGTATGGGAAAATGTGGGGAGTGGGGGGAAGACGAAAAACCCAGAAAGCACAGGGAAATAGGGGGAATCGTTTCACTTGTGTGTATCTATTTGTGTGTCCTTGGGCCCTTTCAGCTATTTGCTCGGAGCCCACGCGACGGGGGTCAGCGTGCACGGGTGTCAGCCAATCCTCGAGCTGTGGCGAAGCGTCCTGGCGTGCCTGTCGGCCTACCACACGATGCTCTAAGAACCTTTTGTGGTTTCCACGGAATGTTCTCAGAACAGTTTTGGTTGAGCCAGTCTTGGTTTAACACACCGGGGTTAATGTTCTAAAAACAGTGGCTTTGTTATTGGAACGCTGTTGGGTTCTAAGAATATTCTGTGGTAGGCCTACAGAGATGCCAGCATGGTCGGCCCCTGCTCAAGATCCGTTCTGGCTGCTCCGGGCTCGGGGCTCGTGTCGGGGCCTGGGTTCGGTGTTCGGGGCTGTGGGTCTGCAAAACGTGTTCGCGCGGCCTGTGGGTGCCTCCAAGCCGCTGCGCCTCGCCGAGGGCGATCTTCCAGATCGTCCCGGGCGGCCGCAGGAGATTACCAGCCTGGAACATATCCCTATCCCTATGTTTGACATCACCTCACCTCGATGCCGATCTTAAGGATTCCTTCAGTTTTTGAGGGCCTATCCCTAAGATTGTCCTCGCTTTTTGCTCGCCCATCTTAGGGATAGGGATACGTTCGAGGCTGGTTAGGAGAGCCGAGCCCTGAGTAATGGCCATCATCGTCAGAAGCATCCCCGCTTGGACAGGGTAGGTTAAGTCTCCCAGCGTACCCCCTCTAGGTATAGATGGGCGACGCGAAACCCGATGGAAACGGCGCACATCTCCACTGTGAGGGGCTGTGTAGGATAGCGGGGCGAAGATGCCCCTGGTGGGGGTTGGGAATGGCTTTCTTTTTCCAGAGTCCAGAGATGGGTCCCGAGGCTGAATTTCCATGGAGGCCCGTCGTCCGTTGGGCCCGTCCCTCCGGGCCCCATCTTGTGAATCGCCAGTGAAGAATCAGGGGCAGCGTCATGGGGGACTAGGCTCAGCGGTCGCCGCAAGTCAGATGTCTTCTGACATGTCCGTCGCTTCTCAGCGGCTTTCCGGCCGCGGGATGCCTTCGGCGGCCGCGCCTCGCCGAGGGCGTTCCGGGGGTGCTCAGGTCGTCCAGCACGGCCACCGGAGGCCCCGGTTGTGGTTAAGTCGGGCCTGTCCCTCTACAGGGGGGATATTAAAAAAACAGTCAAACAATAGTCTGGGGACCATTTTTTCAAGTTTTTTTTTTTTAAATTTAAAAAAAAAACACATTTTGGGGCTTTTTTGCATATTTTTTATTGAATCGCTTCGCTCATTCCGCCGGCCCATACAGTCTCATGTCTGCCGTTTGCCCGAGGGCCTGGTGTCAATGCGGCGCTTTGGGGGTTCCTGGGGCCGCTTGGGGGACTCCTGGGGCGCTCGGGGGGGCATTTGGGGGGCCTCCTGGGGCCGCTTGGGGGACTCTTGGGGGCCTCCTGAGGGCCCCGTGGGGGCCTCTTGGGGCCTCTTAGGGGCCTCGTAGGGGCTTCTTAGGGCCGAGGGCTCGAAATGTTGTTTCGTGTTCCCTCTCTGGGGCCCCTTTGGGGGCGTTCTTGGGGCCCTCTTGGACCGTTTTGGAGGCTTCTTGGGCCGTCTTCGAGCCCTCTTGGGCCATCTTGGGGCCCTCTTGGGTGCCTCTTGGGCCCTCTTGGGGCGATCTTGGGGGCCTCTTGGGCCGTCTTGGGGCGTCGGGAAGCCGAAAAGGTGGAAGCTCCAAAATCTCTCAAAAACCTATGGAAAAACAATGATTTTTGCCTCCGGGGGCCCTATTGGGAGTGCTCTTGGAGGCCTCTTGGGGCGTCTGGGGGCTATCTTGGGCGTCTTGGAGCGATCTTGTGGCATGTCGGACCCCTCGTGTACCATCTTGGGGGCCTCTTGGGGGCCTCTTGGCCTTTCTTGGGGCTCTCGGGGACGTCTCGGAGCCCTGTTGGTGCGCTCATGGAGCGCTCGGGGGGACCCGGCCGGGACCCGGCCGGGACCCGGCCGGGGACCGGCCGGGGACCGGCCGGGACCTGGTCGGGGTACTTTTCGTCCGGGGACCCCCAGGGGCCGCCCCGCGCGCGCGAACTAGAAAATTGTTAACCAGTTACCGGAGATCTTAGCACGCCTCTGGCCCGTTGGGCCGGCGAATTGTTCGTCGAAAATCACCCCGTAGGGGGACACGCCCGACTTAAAAGGTATGGCCGGAAAAATACCTCGGCATGGGCTCAGGGGGGATGCACCGATCCCCAAGGCGCCCCATCAGTGCCGTCGGGGGTGGACAGGCCTCCCACCCTGGCACGTCGATTGTTAAGGAATTGGCCGCTTTCAGTCCGCGAGAGGGCGTCGCGGCCGTCCTTTTTGTGGGTCCAGGTCCGTCGGTTTCGGTCCCAGGCTGTTTTCCCCAAGGGGAGGCTTTCTTCAGGGAGGTCTGTCCACCGCCGATGCCGATAGGGGCCCGATAGCCCGACCCTGTCCAGGAACCTGCGGATTCGCTGTCACCGGCCTTAGGGCGACGATCTCTATACATATCCACTGCTCCCGGCCAGGCCAATCCTGGGCCCAAGAGCTGTGTATACGCCCTCCTGGCTTGGCCAGGGAGGCATATACACCGCTCCTGGGCCCAGGATGGGCCTGGCCAGGAGCAGTGGATATGCATAGATCTCGTCGCCCTAGGCCTGTCGCCAATATATCGGCGGTGTATCGCCGACTCCAGGTCAATGTTTCCCCCCCCCCTGGGCTGGTCTTCCTTCATCGCTGCCCTTCGAAGAAGCAAAATTGGTCCCCAGGGAAACGAGCCCAAGAGCCGCCTGGAGAGGGCTCCGGACTGGGAGAGGCTCCCTGGGTGGAGGCCGCGGGAGTCCAGGGCCCGCTTCGGTCAGGGCGGACTTTCTCTACAGTCGGACCGAGCTACATGATCAAGCTCGGCTCAGGCAGGGTACCCTGCTGTTCTTCGTGTTTGTTGGATGTTCTTGTGCATGCTGAGTGAGGGCACCCTCGATTGTTCTTCAGTTTGGGCGGGCGTGGGGATTCATGTTCTTGAAGGATGTTCTTCTGTTGCAGGTCCTTCCGTAAGATGGTCCAGGGGTCGGGGATCCAAGGGGGTGAGAGGACCGAGTGTTTGCCATAGGGGAAAGTAAAGAACTTCCCCCTTGCAATGCATCCGCTGCTGGAGGCAAACTGTGCAGCCACTGGCCGAGGGCGTTCAGACATGATGCGCGCCCCTGCCGTTGCTTGCCCCAGCGTTGCGCTCCAGCAGATGCGTGTCAGCGATGGGATGCGTTGGGCCTCGTGATCATTTTTGTTATTCATTGTTTTGCCGATCGGCGCGGGCCCTCGCACCCCACCCTCCCCCCCGACGGAGTAGATCTTGGCTGCTTTTGGCGCCTGTTTCGAGCAGGTGGAGTCTCCACCATCGGACGCACGATTGCAAACAGTCGCTGGAAGCAGAGGTCCAGAGCCAGCCCCTCTCCCTTCCCCCCCCCCCCTCCGCCCACTGTCGAAACGCCGAGCGAGAAAGCGTTCACCTCCTCGTTGGCAGGATGCTCTGCCGCCGTTGCCGTGCTGCTTGTTGCTGCCCTGCTGCTGCTTGCCTGCCGGTGTGCTGCCGCCTGCCGCGGAGGAGGCCCGGGGTTCTGCGGCGGCCGCCGGCTGCCCCTGCGGTCCTGGGCCTCCCCTCCAGAGGCCCCGCGGCGGGGCCCCAGGGGGGGGGGGGTCGCAGAGGCGAGGGCACTCTGGGCCCAGGGACTGCCCCTGGGCGGGTCTCGGAGGTGCGAAGGGTTCAGGGCAGCGATCGATGGGGGACAGACGTAAGGGGGGGGACGACCAGGGGGAGGTGTGGAGGAGGAGGAGGAGGAGGTGGAGGAGGAGGAAGACAGGAGGAGCAGGTAAGTGCCTGCCTCGATCGAAGGCCTGGCGGGCGCCTACCCTTCGCGCTACCCTTAGATTCGCCTCGTTTTATCTAAGTTTCCGCGTCGCCCGCCAGGTACCTCTTTGACCCGAGTCGCACCTTCTGTTTTCCCATGCAGCACTTCATTAACGCAACAGGCTAGTTCCTAGTGTCGGTCTAACGTGAAACAAACAAAAAGAGGAGGAGGACGGGAAAGATTCGAGACTCTGGGATGCTTTGGCCCTTCCTGGGCCCCCGACGGCCTCCTCTGGAGGCCGTGGGCAGGCATAGAGAGGGACGCATCGACCCCCACTCGCCCATGGATCGCCGACAGGGGTATGATAGCCCCCCCCCCTGTTGGACGCCCACCTCTTGACGCCCCCGAGAAGGCGTCAGAACATCGCCAGTAGGGGTATGATGGCCCCGCCCCGCCCAGGAAGGTGCGGACTCGCCATCGGGGGCCCATCGCCGACCCGTCAGCGATGCGTCGCCGATTCCTGGCCGATGTGCCCCGCCCTATATGGCCCGTCCCTTCCCATCGTTGCCCCTCGCGGCGGCTGCTGCGCGGACCTCTGAGGCGCGAAGGGTCGAGGATGGGGAGGTGCCGGCGTCAGCCCAACATTCGGGGGTGGACAGAACCCCCAACAGTGACACGTCGACTCATGAATTGTCCGATTGCGATTCTCGAGAGGGCGCCGTGGCCGCCATTTTTCCCAGGCTTGCGCCCGCCAGGTTGGGGCCTCAGGTCGTTTTCACCAAGCCACGTTTTAAGAAAGGGGAGGCCGTCCATCCCCGAAACATGCTACGACTAGCTGTGCGTGGACCCCCCCCCCCCAACATGGGCGGCGCGCGCGCCGAGAGGCCTTACGGTATGAGCTCCGTGGCGGGCGCGCCTTCGGGCCGTGCCGTCGGGGGAACGATCCCTTGCAAGAGTGCTGTGCTACATAAGCCGGGTGGGGCGCGCGCCTCCGAGGGGTGCACCTCGCATCGGCCTGCCCTCGTGTGCCCCGAGGTGCGCAGGGTCGAGGGATCGAGGGTCGAAGGGCCGAGGACCGATCGAGGATCGAGGGTCGAGGACCACGGCCGTGCTCTCCTGAGGATTTTTTGCAGGGCGGCCTGATTTACCACCGGCAGCATTCACCATCTCGTTTTCTTCGAATCGGCAGTGCGCTCCTCAGCGCTCGCCCTCTTCCAGAGGACGGGGCCAGAGCGCGAGCCGCATTTTGCACTTCGCACAGTCCGAGGAGGACAGATAGTTTTGGACGTGTTCGGCCTCCTGTGCACGTCAACGCCGTCGTGAACGTCGTCGCCGTCGCTGTCAACTTCGTCGTCGCTGGCCTTGAGCGGCGCATCGGTGATATCCCGAACATGCCGACACACGCTGACTACCACACCCCCCGCCGAATATGCATTGTTCACGTTGCCTGCGACTCACAGCGACCAGTGCAGAGGACTTCTATCGGCGGCTTCGGCCGGCGAGCAGCGAGTGCTCGGCCCTGGGAGCGGGCAGCTCTCGCGTTCGTGCTCGCGCGTGCGCGCCGACCTGCGCGCCCGCCTCTCCCCGCCTGCTCTTTTTCAGGAGGGGGAAAAAACACACACAGGCACAATCAATCGCCGAGCTCTCAGGAAGGTATGCAAAAATCTGGGGAGTGGGGGGGAGACACCCCCCCAAAAAAACATATAAGAACATATGGGGAATATGTTTCTTTGTGTGTATTTATTTGTGTGTCCCAGGGCCCCTTTCATCTTTCCTCCTGCAGCAGAACAACTTCGTATGCCGAGCGTCCGCGGCCACTCGAGCGCGCGTGCGGATTGCTGCTGCCGCTCTGCGACGCAAGAAGTGTGCAAGCGTGCGCGTGGCGTGCTTTCCTGGCGTTTTCGGTCAGAGGCCCAGAGGGGATGGGGGGCGTTCTCGACGGGGGCGTTCTCGGAGATGATCTTCCTAGTCTTCCTCGTCCTCCCCCTCGTCCTTGTCCCTCCCTGCTTCTCTGTTCCATGCCACTTCCCGGCCCCATCATCTTCGCCCTGACCCTTCGGCCAGTGACCCGAAGAGGGATCGACGAGTGAGAAATGAGGGAGGGGCAGGGGACATGGGGTTGGAGCAGAGTGGGGGAGGGGAGGAGGAGGGGGGAGGGTGGGGAGGGAGGGAGGGAAGGGGTAGGACAAGGAGGAAGGAAGGCCTGGACAATGCCATGGCGGAGGAGGAGGAGGAGGAGGCAGGGAGCAGGCAGAGGGCACGGAGGGAGGAGAAGCGGGAGTTGGAGGAGACATGTGGGAGCGGCATCAGTGGGATGTCGAGGAAACGCAACGACAACAGCCATGCGCCAGCCTATGGCGCGGCGCCCCGGGCAAGATAAGAAGTTAAGGAAGAGGAGGAGGAGGAGGAGGAGGAGGAGGAGGAGGAGGAGGGAGGAGGAGGAGGAGCACGCTCCAGGCTGCCACCTCAAGTTGGTCCACCGTCAAAACAGGAGGAGGCGGGAAAGAACCAACATTGACCTACGACTGCGCGTGCTGCAATACTTCGTACACGCATTGAGCCCACAATAGCCTGGAGCGGCCGCGCTTCGGGTGCGCGCGCCGCTGTCTCGGGCTCCCCCCTCCTGGCCCACGCTAGGAGGGCTCTCGAACAAAGGATTCGTATAGATCAAGGCGGGCGCGCGTGGATTGGCGACAGATGTTGCTTGTGTCCAGAATCGGCGCGCTTCGTCACCCAATCAGGAGTCACTTGCGCCGTGTTTCGAGTGGGCCGGTTTCCGATCCGCGGATCCGGCGTCCAAGCGCCAGGTCAACAGATGCATTTCCCATGTCAGCGCGTGCCCGAGACTGGCGATGGTGTTTTCCCACTCCTCCCATCCTTGGCCAGCGGCGCCTGCCCGACGCAGCGCTTGCCCTGTCCCTCCCCCTGCTGGCAGAAAGAACCCTCGTGGGAGCACGGCAGGCTCTGTTGTCCACTCATCGTCGTCTTCCTGCTCCGCCTTCTCCTCCTCGTCCCCGGAGGAGGGCGAGGGTGAGGACGACGACGACGACGACGACGACGACGACGACGACGACGACGACGACGACGACGACGACGTGGATGACGACGAGGAGGACGACCCACCCGATGTGGACGACGGACAAAGGTCGACGGACGACGTCGACGACGATGACGACGATGACGACGACGACGACGACGACGACGACGACGACGTTGATGACAACGCTGACGACGACGACGACGACGACAACGACCAGCGACCAGCGACCAGCGGCGGCGACCAGCGGCGGCGGCGGGCGCCGGGCGCCGGGCGCCGCGAGCGGGGCACGTCGCCGACGCCCCGCAGGGCGGGGCTGTCGTCCAAGTCGGCCGCCTTCGTGCCCGGCAGGCGTGCCGCGGCGGCCGCCCGGGCGCAGACGTCCCTTCGGGGGCGGCAAAGAGGGGGGTGATGACTAGGGGGGGGTGGATATCATGGCGTGGGCCATGATAATTCCCCAGATCTCATGGCGCCTCTTCTTGTTTCACTACGTCCCTGGCCCCCCCGCTGGGCCGCGCACGTGCCACCGGTCATGATTTGCACCCCCCCCTCTTGGACACCCCCCTCTTGGCCGCTCCCGAAGACTTCCCTTCGGGGCCAACAAAATTCAGAGCGTGAACTACCTACCCCGCTTTCGCTTCCAGGCAAAACCAAATCATACCACGCGCCTCCTCGTCAAGCGGCCTGACCAGTACAGGCTTGGAATCCACTGCCCCTCTGTTATGAGGCCGTTGTATAGGAGAGGCAACAGAGGACAGAGTGTTTACACAGTTTTGAGGAATTTGTGAATTCAGTATGGGTCCGGCTTGAAGTGCCTCGAAGAAAGCGCGCGCACCCGAATCGCAAACATATGGCTATATGCGGACCCAGGACACTTTGCTTCCCGTCGTCGTCCTCGCCCTTGCTCCGTTCCCCTTCCTTTCCTCCCTCCCCTGGATGGTGTCGAAAGCGTCCGCGGCTCGGGCGGGGGAGAGCCCCTTCCCACCTCCCTCATTATTCCACGTTCCTCTTTGCTTCCCTGCTCCACCATCCGTCGCCCTACCTCGCCCATCCTCCTTGTTCGAAAAGTGAAGTCCCTGGCGTCGTGTGCCCGCGTCAGCGGTAAATTCTTCTTCGATATCCGAGCACAGCGGCGCAACCAAACAGAGGGGATTGCCAATGCGAGAGTTCGGGGCGCGCCCAAAATGCGGGTGGCACGGCCGCCGAGCACAGTCGCATCGCTAACGTGTAAATAATAGGTGCCTGCGGCAAGGTCCGCCCCCCTTGCCAGAGCAGTGATCTATATGGCGACGCGTGGAGCTTTGACTGTTAAGGGGTCCTTGACATGTGACATCTCTCGTGTTTTCGGATTGCTGCGCGGCATTCTTTGGGGTCCTTCGAGGCCTTTTGGGACGTCTTCGGGCCGTTGGGGGCCGCTTTGGCGCCGCGTTGCACCGCGGCCGCCCTGGGCCAGGGAAGCGTGTATTTGCGGCTCTCTCTGGGGCGCCCTGGGCCGGGGAAGTGTGTATTCGCATTCCTCCCAGCTGGGCATGTCGACTTCGGTTCTGGGTTGGCAAAACCGGGGCGCCCTCGAGGTGGCGAGCGTTCACCTTTTCGGAATACACAGATCAAGGTATGATCTGTGTACACAGTTTGTGTCTTCAACTGTGTATTTTCGTGCGTGGGCCCGCTGTTTACACAGATCGTGGTGTGATCTGTGTACACATATCTCGTTCCCACCTGTGTATTTGGAGTGTGCCCCTCGCGGGTGGTGTTGAATGGGCGGGAACTTTCGCGTTTCTCTTCCGGCTGGTCCAGGGGCGGCGTCGTGCGCGGTCGAAATGCACAGTTCGTGTCTCCAACTGTGCATTTGTTGCGCGCCTCTCGCTGGAGTGGTCACTGGGCGGGAGTTTCCGCGGGTCTCCCGGCTGGTCCAGGAGGGGGCCGTGGTCTGGGCATGCAGAGGCGCGGGGGGGTGGGGATGGTGGGCTGTGGGAAGGAAGGGGTTCGATAGGAAGGGTGGCCGAGGGGCCAAGGATGAACGGGACTGGACGAGAGCGGAGGAAGAGGGCCCAGGAGGATCTGCACCATCGGCGTCAGCATCACGAGGGCGAGGGAGGTGGGGGGGGCAGAAGTTGGGGGCATGATGTGCACTAGGGCGTAGAGGATGGGAGGAGGACAGGCATGTGGACGATGGGGGAACGAATCCGGCGCAGGAGGACGACGAGGAACGACGTGAATTGACGCAGGGGGGGCAGTGTGGATGAAGGGCATGATGAGGACCGGGGCAATCGGAGGGGCATGAGGAGGGTGGGGCCGCAGCGAAGGGATATTTGGAAGAGGCGGGGGATGGGGCATGAGTTCGAGGCGGGCGCCAGCTAACGATTAGCTGAACAGTGTTTTGCGTGTCCGCGCACCCCCAGAGCGCAGTGACTGGTTGCAGAACTTCATGATATGGGTAATCGTGCGCTTCGTGCTTCCAGGCCAAAGGCTCGAGTCCGCGACGCCCTTTGGCGTCGCGATGATGCCGCCCCGATCTGCCAGGCCGCATATGCACAGATACGCAGAATATGTGTTGCAACGTTTGTGTCATGACCCTCTCTATACTAACAGACCCACGTTGAAACCCAATTACAGGCCGTAGTCTGGCATCGTTTGGTATCTCTTGGAGGCGAGGGTGGTCAAAAGCGAGGCAGGTTTGTTTTCCCCCTAAAAATATGCACCACCACCGCCGCCCTCGCGCCGTCCCTCTCCCAGAAGAGGTCAGCCACGCGCAGCGGGGGGTTGGGGGGGAGGGGGGAGGGCTCCTTAGAAGGGCCCCTGCTTCTTAGAAGGCGTGGGCCACTTCAATAGATGTAAGGCCGGCGCCTTCTAAGAAGCAGCCTGCTTCTAAGAAGCCCTCCCCCCTCACCCCACACCCTTGTGCGCGCCGCCAAGGAGGGGGGGGGGTGGAAGAGCAGGGCTGGAGGAGGGGAGGGGGGACGAGACGAGGGTGGTGGCGGTGGTGTGTATTCTTGGCGCCCGCACCTCCCTGCTGCGGTCAGAGTTCGGGGAGCACATGTGTAATTGCGCTGGTGATTGAAAGTCTGTTGTGTTTTTGGACTCCGAGGTCCCAATCTACTTCAAGCGCCTTCCTCCTTGACGAATCGATCTGCATCTTTTCTGTCGGTTTTTGTTATTTTTGGAGCGGGCCCGAACCCAACTTCAGCCGCCTTTCTGCTTGATTTTCGAGCTACCTCAAATAGGGAAGAGCTCTTTCTGTAGTCGCTTGTAGGGTCCCGTCTGTGTGCGACCAGGGGGGGGCCCCCCTAAAATGGCTCCGGGCTCCGAACCGCCAGGGGGGTAGCGTCCCCCCGAGAGCTGGCTGGCTACCCCCCCCCCCTTGGGAACCGAGGGGTGCGGGCGAGGGGGGGGGGGGCGCAAGAGAGGTCCCCCTCCCATTCTTGGTGGCGTCGGCGGCTGCAGTGGCGGCGACGACGGCGACGACGACGGCGACAGGGGGGCGGGAACGCGCAAGCGAGAAGCACAACGATGGCGTCGACGACGGGCGACGAGGGCGAGACAACGACGACGACGAAGACGACGACGACGACGTGTACGACGACGACGACGCCGATGTGGACAACGACGAGGAGGACCGCCCGCCCGATGTGGACGTTCCGTCGTTGAGAGGCTGGTTGTTTTAATGTCCCGCCTGCCCAGACGACGTTTTCGGCGGCTGTGATCGATTCCCCCTCAACTTTCTCATTTCACAAAAGTGAAGATTTCAAATCATGCTCCTCTCGCACAATTTGCATGGCCCGTCACATCACTGACTACAGGTTTTATGTAATGTCCCGCTCGCTCGTCCTACGCCTTTGGCGATTGGAAAATTGTCCGTGACGCTTTCCCAGTACAGAGTGGAGGTTGGATTTAATGACGCGCCCGCCCCGTATGGACGCCCCGCTACTGACCGAAGGGTTCCTCCAATGTCCCGCGCGCCCGATCGGCGTCTTGGGCGGTTCGGATCGGTTTCCCAAGAATTGCTTTCATCGCCCCCGGTGAAGGTTGCATTTGGTGTCCCGGCCGTACCATGTGGACGCCCCATCGATTACCAGTTTCATTTGATGTGCCGCCCGGCCCGACCGGCCTCTTGGGCGGTTGTGATATATTTCCTTGTGATTTCTCCCAACTCAGAGGGACAATTAACTGCATTCAATGTCCCGCCCGCCCGACATGGACGTCCCATTCTTGAAAACATGGTTCCTGTAATGTCCCGCCCGCCCGAATGTTGTCTTCGGCGGCTGTGATCGATGTCAAATGCACGTCCTTATTTCACACTGACGCTTGCATATAATGTCCCGCCCGCCTATTTTGGATGGCTCATCAGATCAGTGACAACAGGTTTCCTGTATTCTCCCGTCCGCCCGTCTTACGTTTCCAGCGGTCGTCACACATTTCCCCATAAGCCTCTCCCAACAGAGTGAAGCTTGCATTCAATGTCCCGCCCGCCCGATATGGATGCCCAATCACTGCATGCATGGTTCCTCCAATGTCCCGTCCGCCCGACCGGCGTCGTCGGCGGTTGTGACCGATTGTGAAGGCCTGACGGCCAGTGCCGCCGACCCTGGAAGATATCGAAGACGACCAGGAGGGGGAGGAGGAGGAGGAGGAGGAGGAGGAGGGCGGAGAGAAGGACTGGCGTCCCGTTCGCCCGACCGGAGTCGTCGGCGGAGAGGTCCGATTGGTTTTTTTCTTTCATGTCACACAGCGAAGGCTGCATACAGTCGAGCCTGATTAGTAGGTCGACCCTGCCAAATCAAGGGTGCCCTTGTGTCCTGTGTTTTGCGACCCACGCCTTCTGCATTTCTGTGGCAAGGTGGCCCTCGGGAAGGGCCTTGTGTCCTCGCGAGTGTCCTCTCCAATCGACCCCGACTGCATAACGCTTCGCCCGCCGATGTTGGGCGCCCCCACCACCGACTGCAGGTTTCATTCAATGGTCCGCCCGCCCGCTCGGCGCCCCTGGCGGTTGCGAACCATTCCCCCTGACCCTCTCCCAACCCAGCCCTCCCAGACCGCTTCACCAGCTCGCCGTTGTCGTTTCCGTCGCTGTCGTCGTTGTCGCCGTCGCCGTTTGTCGCGGGCGCCGTCGCAGACACCAACGCCGTCGTCGTCATCGTCGTCGTCGTCGTCGTCGTCGCCGTCGTCGTCGTCGTCGTCGTCAATGTCATTGTCATTGTCGTCGTCGTCGCCCTCGTCGTCGTCGTCGTCGTCGGCGTCGGCGTCGGCGTCGGCGTCGACGCCGACAGGTAGGAAGACATGAGGACGAGAGGAGGATGAGCAGGAGTCGGATGAGGTGGAGGACGAGTGCATGAGCCTGGCCAGGGGTAAGTGGGAAGACAGTCTGTTTGGGCGCATTCCTTCCTGCTCGCTGATCTTTCGGTGGCCCCCGGAAGTCGTTGGTTTTTGCGTACAGTGCCGTTTTTGATACATGTTCCGCGTGCGAATTATGTGCTTAAAATGCAGGGATTTAGTATAAAAACAAAGATGAGTTCATGCATAAATGTATTCATACATTAATCATGCATTACAATCCTATATTTAAGAAATCCTCTGTATTGAAAACTGCCCTGTGTGGTTGGCGTCGAGGACGGAGCCAAACACGGACTGAGCATGTCTCCACTTTCCCCCGTGCGCGAGGGGCGCGCACTCTTGCCTCGCCGATGCGCGAGAGGCCGTGTGTCGGGCAGCAAACCCATAATGTTGTTTCGGGCGTGTCCCCCTACGGGGGGATTCACGAAAAATAGAAAAAACTAAACATACCCCCAAAAGGTCGAAACATGTTCAAACATAGTCCCCAGACTATGTTTGAGATTGTTTTTTTATCCTCTGGGGGGTAACGCTCGTTACCCGGGCCTCTCCCCCCCCCCCCCCCCCGTAACGGTACCGCTCGTACGCGGGGGGGGTCTCGGTCTTCCCCTCCAACATGCTGGTGCCCGAAGGCATGCGCACTGTGGTGTGGTGGTCGCAGGCGCACTGTGGGCGCTCGCAGGCCATTGCGGCGCTCGCATGCGCGATGCTGGTGCTTGCGGGCTTTGCGCTTGTACTCGAATCGTCGTCGTCGTCGTCGACGGCGCCCGAAAAACGGCCTCCGGAGTCCGACAAAGTCGTCGTCGTCGTCGTCGACCTCGTCGCTCGTCGTCGCTCGTCGATCATCGTCGTCGCGCGCGCGGGCGCGGGCGTGGTGCCGGGACCACGCGGCGGGCTTTGCGCTTGTACTCGAATCGCAAGCCACTGTGGTGCTCTCAGGCAGAGAGTGCTGCTCGCGCGCATACTATGGCGATCGCAGAGCGCCCCTGCCTCGCCATACCCCGCCCAGCCCAAGCGTTACCGTTACCCGAGGGGCACGACCCCCCCCCCCCCCCCCGGGTAACGAGCGTTATCGGCCAGAATAAAAAAACAATCTCTTTGGACTATGTTTGACTATGTCTGGGGTATTTTTAATGTCTCGTCGAAAATCCCCCCGGTCGGGGGAGAGGCCCGACTCAACCATAATGTTTGTTGTTTCGTTGTTTTGTTCTTTCTCTCTCTCTCTCGGGCTCTCTCTTTTGGGGCATATTTTCTATCACCGTGCACGCCACTGTTCGTGTTCCTGGTCAAGAGCTCATAGGTGGAAGGGAGATGCGGCTATCACTTCGGCGTCTGCTGGTAAAGTACTCGCGGTTTCACCTCCAACTCTTCTCGAGGAAGATAGATCAGGGGACCGATCTTGCAACCATCGACTTCGGCTTCTAAACTGAGTGAGCGGTCCCTGGCTCGGCACCGCTTTCGCAGTGTGTGGACCCCGCTTCTCCACCAGCGAGCGCTGGAAAGCACTGGATTTCCCTGGGATCGTGCTCCGCTGGACCTCCCTGGAGCACATCAACGCGCGGGGTTGCCGTCGTCCATGGCGGCAAGGTCCTCATCTGGTCGGCGGCCGAGCCCGGGGTGAAGCTGCCAGGGAGCGGGCCTTGCCAGAAGGCCGCGGGCTTCTCAGAAGCCCTAGAAGTGTTCGAAGCCTTCTCCGAGGACGCACACGGCTTCTTAGAAGGCCGCAGGGGTTCCGGGAGGCCCCGCCGCCCTCGGGGAAGGCTTGCCCCCTCTCGGCTCGCCCCTCTCTGCGGGGCTCGCCGCCGAGCGCGGGGTCGCCGTGGCACCGCGCCTCGCCCAGCCTCCCAGGAGCACACGAGCGTGGCGGCAGCTGCGCATCTCGAGTGGCAGTGGCGAAGGCAGGGAGGAGGCAGGCGGCAGCGGGACAGTGACATGCATATAGAAAAATTCTGAGGTCCGTGCGGATTCCTCGGATCGGCGCTGGACCGCCCTGGCGGCGCCTCCGGCGCCGCCCCCGGCGCGCTCCGCGCGCCAGGGAGGGGGGTCTAGCGCGGATCCACGAAATCCGCGCGGACCTCCAGGTTTTTACGTCGATGCCATGTTTTGACGAACGAACAACACACACCCATACCCATAGGGGGGTCGTTGGGAGGAGGACTGGCTATGGGTAGGGGTGCGGGTTGTCGGACCCCAGGGAACGCTCCCGTTCGAGCGGGGACCCCCATCCGACAACACGCACCCACAGCCCTCTCCGACCCCCCTATGGATGTGGGTGTGTGTTGCTGGTTCGTCAATGTCTCGTTCCCCCAGGGAGGGCGGGCGTCTGGGGCGCGCGGCGGCACGGAGAGGGAGCAGCAGCGGCGTCTCCCTTGGGCGGGGTCCGATTCCGAGTTGTCCCGGAGGCTGCCCGGGGGGTCTGGGCAGCAGGCCGCCTGTTCGCGGCTGGCCTGCCGTGGGGGTCGGGCGCTGCTCGTCCGGGAGGGCTGCGTGGCCCCCGCCCTATGATTGTGACGACCCTGGAGCACCTCCAGCCAGGCGGAGCTCGAGGGAGCGCGCGAGGACCCAAGAAGCTCCAAGAGGACCCCCAGTGCGACTTCAAAAGCTCCCGTGGGGGGCCCAGTTGGACCCTGAGACTGCCTCCAGCAGTAAACAGAAGCATCAGTGAACAACTCGGTCAGTGATTGATCGGATTCCAAGTGTTTCCGTTGAAGGTGGTTCCACGAGGGCCCTCGGAGGTGCCGAAAGGCGCCCATAAGCGGTCCGAGAAAGGCCCAACGTGGCTCCAATACAGCCCAGGACTGCCTCAAGATGAGCCAGGAGGGCCCCATGGGGGCGTCCGTGGGCCGTCGTGGGGCGATTCTGAGGGCCTCTTGGGCCCTTTTGGAGCATCGAAGACCCGTAAGGGCGAGGATGATAAAATGCGTCACACGCCTTTCGGAACAAATGATTAGGCCTCTCAGGGCGATCGTTGGGGCCTATTCGGCCGTCTGGGGCCGATTGGGGGGGCCTTTGTGGTCGTCGTGGAGCGTCGAAAAGGCGATGGCGGTAAACTGCGTCAACAGGTTGATGGGGAACCACTTAGTCCCCTCCCTATTGGGGAGTCTGAGGAGGCGCTTTGGGCCGTCTTGAGGTCATCTTGGACATCTTGGAGCTGTCTGTCGGCGATTCGAGGCCCTCTGAGACCGTCGTGTGGGCCTCTCGGGGTTTTCGTGGCCCGTTGTGGGGCCCTCTTGCCCCCCAAGAAGTAACGCGAGAAGACGCGCTAAGGCCTAAGAGTGCCCGGACGCGATCGAGAGCACCCTGAATTCGGGGATGTGTGATTCGAGATATTCCGTGAGCCCCTGAGATCGAGGTATTGGTTCTCGTTTGAGACATCCTGACAAATTTAGGCTTCACCAGAAAAGCCTAACATACTGTGACTTGGCTTCAGTTTTTTGCTGGGACCGCGGGTTTCTCAAAGTCTGTTGCTGTTGTTGCGGCGAACGTTTTTTTGATTGAGGCACCCCCTTTTACAGCACAGGTTCTTGCTGATCTAAACCTGGAAGCCCGAAAACCTGGGGTTTGGGGGACATTCGAAGACTGCTGTTTCCCACTATCGAGACACAGCGTCCGATGGAAGGGTCTCGACTACTTGTTTAAATCTATTGTTGGGGGGGGAAGGAGGAGGAGGAGGAGGAGGAGGAGGAGGAGGAGGAGGAGGAGGAGGAGGGGCGGAGTGACATGAGGAGGAGGGACGAGTGACAAGAAGAGCAGCGAGGAGCAAGTGGAGCAGGGCAGCGGCGCCACGAAGCAGGAGGAGCAAGAGGATGGGCAACGGAGCGGGAGGAGCAAGAGGAGGAGCAAGCCCGACAGCCAGCAGGCGAGGGAGGGGAAGGGGCGAGGAGCGAGGGGCACGAGAGATGCAAATGACGAGGACGAGGACGAGGCCTGAGTGAGGGAGCAGGACGAGGACGAGGCCTAAGGACGAGGACGAGGACGAGGACGAGAACGAGGCCTGAGTAAGGAAGCAGGTTCCTGAGGACGGTCGGGTCGCTGGCGGGGGGATGTAACCTCCGCCAGCGGCGACAAGAGTCTCCCTGGATGGAGTCGGCCTCGGGCTTGTTTCCTCTCTTCTTGGATGTCCTCCATGGACCCTGCTTCCGCAGCCAGGCAAGAGGTAAGAGGAGGACGCGGAGGAGGACGAGACGGAGGAGGAAGAGGAGAAAGTACGAGGACTCCTCTTCCTCCTGCTCCTCCTCCTTCCTCCTCCTGATCCTCCTCCTCATCCTCATCTTCGCCCTCCTCTGATCAGGGGGGTGTATGATGAGGAAGGACGCTCCAGGCTGGACGCTTCAGTGCGCCGATCGAAGCAATGACATGATTCTAAGATTCTAGGTTGGCTTGCGCACGTCTGGGGAGGGGCGCGAGGTTCAGGTAGACAGGAAAAAGGCAACCGCGGACGACGACGACGACAACGACGACGAAGACGAAGACGCCGACAAAAGACGACGGCAAAGCGACACAACGACGACGAGGGACCGCAGCGACGCGAACGAAAACGACGAAACGACTACGAAGAGGAGGGGGAGGAGGGGGAATGAGAAGGAGGAGGAGGAGGAGGAAGAGGAGGAGGAGGAGGGGGAGGAGGAGGGGCAGGAGGAGGACCAGGAGATGGAGGAGGAGGACGAGGATGAGGATACTATGGAGGAGGAGGAGGAGGAGGAGGAAATGGAGATGGAGGAGGAGATGGAGGAGGAGGAGGAGGAGGAGGAGGAGGAGGAGGAGGAGGAGGCGGGATGCGAGGAGGACCACGGCGGCCCGACGGAGCCCGCGACCCCCCCCCGTCGCGTCGCCGCGCGACCCGCGCCCAGCACCGGCGGTCAGCTGGCGACCTCGGCGCCGCTGTTCGTGCCCAGGAGCGGGGCCGCTGTGCGCCCACCGCCTCGTCCTTCGCCTCCTCCTCCCTCCTCCTCTCCTCCTCCCTCCTCCTCCTCCTCCTCCTCCTCCTCCTCCTCCTCCCCCTGCCTCTTCCTCCCCCTCCTCCTGCTCCTCCTCCTCCTCCTCATCTCTGTTCTCCCGCCTCGATCCTCAGGAGGAGCTGGCGAGCCCCCCCTGGCGAGGGCCCCCCTTTGAGTGCAGCAGCGGCGGCCTTTGAGTACAGCCTGGGCCGTGTCCAGGAGTGGGCCGTTGTGCGCCTCCGCCTTTCTCGACTAGACGTGCACGTCGGTCGTTGAAAGTAGGTACTGTCGGTTTCTCGGGCCCCATCGGCGTCACCCCCACATTCTAATATTATATGTGCGTCGCCCCCTCCCTGTGGTGACGCGCGCACCGATGAGTCTTACAGTATATGCGTCGTGGCGGGCGCTTTCTGGCCGCACCGCTCGGGAAACGATATACTACAAGATGGGTCTACAATCTGTGCGGGTCGAACGCGCGCCTCCAAGGAGGACATATCGTATTAGTAATTATGTCGCCGACCTGTGGCACCTGCTAGTGGACGCCGTGCGCAGCGGCCAGCTCCTGGCCCGCTGGGTACCCGCCCACCAGACGCCTGCGGAGGCGCGCCGCCTAGGGCTGAGCGAGAGGGACCGCCTCGGCAACGCGGCGGCCGACGGCAACGCTGGCGCCGCCGCGGCGAGCACAGCGCCGCCGCCAGACGCTGTGCGCGCCCGCCGCCGGGAGCTTGAGCTGCTGGGGGCCGCGCAGCGCGTGATGGCTGCCGCGCAGCAGGCCGCCCTAGCGGCGGCCCCGCCAGCAGCGCGCCTCCGTCGGCGCGACTGGCGCTGGGTGCGCCGCGGGGCCCGGGCCCGCCCGGCCTCCGCGCCGCCGGACGCCGCGCCCGCCAGACGCGCGCTTCCGCCAGCGCCGCCGCCGCGGCGCAGCGGCGCCGACGACCCCGTCCCCCCAGGCGCCATGCTGGCTGCCTTCTTCGCAGGGCGGTCGTAGTGGCCGCACGCCCTCGCGCATGGACCTGGCCATGTCGTCTGCCTCCGGTGTGGCGTCAGCGCCGCGGCGCCTGACGAAGTGTTGGGCTGTTTATGCCCGGTGTGGAAGGAGCGGCTGCCAGCGCGCGGGCAGGCGCTACTCCTTCTCGGTGAACTGCGCATCGCTGGGGGGAGTTCGGCGGACTTTGCATGCCTCGCTGCGCAGCGGCGCGCGCAGCTCCCCAAGGCGCCGGACTGATCGGCGCCTTCCCGGGCGCCCGCGGATGCGCGGGGCGCCTGCTGTCCGCTCGTCAAAAAAACGTCCCTCTCCAATCTAGTTCAAGCGCCCTCCTACTTCAGGAGTTTATCTGTTTCTGCTGCGTTTCGATGTGGAGCGGCCTTCGGCCCATCCCGCCACCGTGCATGTGTTGTGGGCCAGACTTCTCAGGGGTGCTTCGTCGGGTTTCCGCGGGGCGCTCTCGGGGGCCTCGTTGAGAGCAGCTTTTTGGACTCATTTTGCGCAGGGACTCAGTCGGGCCTGTCCCTCTACAGGTGGAGTGTTCAAAAATAGTCAAAACGTAGTCCGAGGATAATTGTTAGATTATTTGTCAATTATGTGTGCGTATTGCTTGATCATTTGTTCATTATTTCGCGCAATATCCGCATTTAGGGAGCTCGACCGCAACGTCGGGTTTTTCTTGCGTGTAGAGCTGACTCTCCCGGGGCTCGAAGGGCGAGGGTCCACGCAAGCGCGGATCGGCCGTTGCGGTGGATCTTGCAGGATCCTGCAGAGCCGGGGGGGCACGGACACGGGCTAACCGCGGGACCCTGCAGGATCCTACAGGGCCCGACTGACTCGGGCTTGGATTTGCCCAGGTCAGCAGATTCCAACTTGCGCGAATTGGTCACATACGAGAGCGCGCCGCAAACCGACTTTGGAACGAGATCGAGCTGGACTTATGATCGGGCCTCGTTCTTTCTTGTCTCCTAGTGCACCGGCGCTCCGCCGCCGCACCCGCAGCACCCCCAGACGGTGCCCATCTGCGGGCGTGTTAGTGTTAAGCGCCATGTGAAGATCGTTATGCAGTCGAGGATAACACAACGGCATGAGACATATATTGGCCCGCGCAGATTTCTGGGATCTGCGCTGGGCCCTCCTTGCAGCGCCTCTTGCGCCCCGCGATATGCCAGGAAGGTTCAACGCGGATCCAAGAAATCCGCGAGGACCTCCAAACGTGTCAGTGCATACCGGTTCTCGATGAAGGTCGTTTCTTGGCAACGTACGGTCAGAATTTGTAGTAATATCGCGTTTTTTCGTCAAGGTTGCCCTTGCATCCGTGCTTCTTCGGCCCATCTTGGGCCAAATTTTCAGGTTCAAGGGGCTCCAATTGGTAGTGAGACTTCGAAGGGTCTTGCACCCTTACTGTGCACCCTTACTAGTGATGTTCACTGTAGCTGCGTACGCAGTTTAGCTTCGGCGGGATGCGCGAGATTACAGCAACGCTTCCCCACCTCCGCAGCCATTCGCCTCCGATCCCCACAGAGGGCCGTGTTGTCAGCTCACTGCGAAGTGTACACCAGCGTTGAGTCTAGGACGAAGTCAACGGCTTCTCGTTGATGCTTGCTCAGACCACCACCATTCCGAACTCGTTCAGGCATAACCGAAACGACCATGCCCGAAACGACCACTCCAAACTTGTTCAGTCATGCTGAAAAGCACTTGTAGTTTACACTTCTCCCGCACGCCCAACGACCCCACAGGCTCACCTTACGCACGCATGCCGAATTTGGCCTTCCAGGGTCACAAAATATTCAAAGGTAGCAGAGGAAGGAGGTTGGCGAGAGGTTCGAACACATCTGAAGTTTCCGAAAGCTCGGATCACGATTTCGGCCTCCAGAGGCCGTTGAGGATGATCCGGGCGCCCTCGGAACGCTCTCGGCGAGGCGCAGCCGCTGGAAGGCATCCCGAGGCTGGACGACCGCCGAAAACCGACACAAACGTCCGAAAACCTACCTGACGATGCCCCCCATGAAGTCATCATTTCCCTCTTGGCCGCCTTCGATCGAACCTCGACCCCCCTCCCCCCCGCCATAGCCCGGGGCCGAGGGCGGCCGCCGCGACTGGAGTCGGCCATGGGTGGCAAGTTGCAAACGACGGGAAGCCACCATGGCAGCCAAGGCGGCACCGAAAGATGTCACGTGTCAGGACGCAGTTCCACACATTGCAGCGCTCGCAGTGTGCAGCGCAAGTGCGCGTGAGGTTTGAATGATCCTAGCAGCGGTCACCAAATACGACGAGTAGCGAAGGAGTATCCCGGCCCAGGCCCTGGAGAGGCGAAAGCAGCCAGCCGCTGGACAATCCCATGGGGGGCAAGCCGTCGATGGCCCGTGGTGCTCTTTTTGTTCGGGATCTGCAGGCGGCGGCGGCCTCACCGGCTGGCCCCCAGCGCCCTTCGCAAGTCTACCCTGGCCAGACGAAGCAATCGCTGGACGCATGAGGCACGGTGCGGGCGTACAGTCAACCCGAAGAGTAAGGAAGGGCAACCTTCCCGAGGGCATCCTTGCATCCTTGCCCCTTCGGCCCATCCTCGGCGACTTCCGCAGGCCAACCTCGCTCGAAAATCGTTAACAGGGGCCTCCAAGGCCCTTGCATCCTCACCATGCACCCCCACGATTCGGGCTGGCTGTAGGAGAGACCACCCCGCTTGATGGCTCAGACATCTCACGCGTAGACTTCAGTCGGGCGTGTCCCCCTACATGGGGGATTTTCGACAAAAAATAAAACATGCCCCAAACATATTCCAGAAAGGACAAAACATAGTGAAAAAATAGTCCCCAGACTATTTTTGGATTATTTTCTGATTATTGTTGGGGGATCTTTATCTTTCGTCGAAAATCCCCCTGTAGGGGGACAGGCCCGACTTACACGCAGACGCGCGCCAGAGGCAGCCAGGGGCTGGAGGCGCGCGGAGCCCCTCGCTCGAGCCGGCCCCGCGAGGGCGGGCCCTTGCCCGCGGAGGAGCCTGTGCGCCGCATCGACGGCGCGCCCGGCCCTTGGGGTCGGGGGCCCCCAGACGCCAGGAGGGAACAAGACACGTAGACACAGCGAATCGTCGATTCCCCCGAGAGTATGGGGGAATGTGGGAAGTGGGGGGGAAGACAAAAGCCCCGAAACTATGGGGAAACATTGGGAATCCTGTTGTTTGTGTGTATTCATTTGTGTGTCCCGGGGCCCCTTCCAAACGGTGCGGTGGCCACACCGTGCCGTGAGTCGGTGGGGATTCGGGGTCACCGCACGGTGTTGGGGCTCGGGTCCCTCTCCGAGGACGTCTCGGGCGACGGGGGCCTCCGAGGTCCCAGGACCGTGCGGTGACGGACCGTGCGGTGAGGTCTTGGGGACTTCGAGGTCACCGCACGGTCTGTCACCGCACCGTTTCGGGACTCCCAATTGGGGGGGATCGTGGAGTGCGAGGGGGTGGGCCTTCTCGGAAGGCTCGGATTTCTTCCAGCCTTCGGAGAAGTTTTCTATTCCAGATCCTTTATTCTTCGACCCCCCCCCCACACACACAAAAAAATCCGGACCCCCCTCCAAATGCGACCTAATGTTCCGGACCCCCCTCTTCGACGGGGCGCCTTGTTAAACCGGAGCCCCTAAGCTCCAATCCAAAGAACGCGCCCTGATAAACCGGACCCCCTCAGTTACAAACACGGCGCCTTAAAAAACCGGACCCGGGGGACGATTCATAACGGATGTGGAGTAGGCCTTCCCCGAAGCCGCAGAAGTCAGCTCCGAGGGCCAGAGGCCTTCTGGGAGGCGCCGCCGCCGCCGTCTGAGGAGGCCTGCTCGGTCTCCCTTCCCCCCCTTATGGGCTCGCCGCCGATCTGAGGCAGGCAGCTCTGGCCAAGGGGGCAGAGAACAGCGGGCCAAGATGGCCGGGACCGCAAGTGCGGCCCGGGGAGGGCCGCCGAGCGAGGCTCACCCAGGTCGGGGGCGGAAAAGAGGGGGGTGATGACTAGGGGGGTGGTGGATATCATGGCGTGGGCCATGATATTTCCCCAGATTTCAGAGCGCCTCGTCTCATTTCATTACGTCCCTGGCCCCCCCGCTGGGCCGCGCACATGCCGCCAGTCATGGTGTGCACCCCCCCCCTCTTGGACCGCTCCCGACCATGCGCCCGGGGGCGTCGTCGGGGTCCGAGGCGCCGGCCCAGAGGGTCCCGCAGAGCTCCAGCGGCCTGCGGGCGACTCTGCAGTCAGACTGGCATGGTGAGGACGCGCTGCGTCGTCAAGGCTGCCTTTGCATCTCTGCCCCTTCGGCCCACAGGGAAGCAGTGCCGATGGCCAGGGAGCTCCACATGGTAAAATGGAGCTTCCGGGGGCCTCGCGTCCTTGCTGTGGATTTCGAGTGTAGTTCGGACCGGGCTGGGACGAGGATCATCCGTTGCAGAGCCTTCTGGCACGCTATCAGAGCGCTCCGGAACGCTCCGAGAAGGCCGCGGCGCCCGAGAAGTCTTCCAGAGCCGCCCCGATTTTAGAGATTCTCCAGTTGTCCTCACCCGATTTGATCCTTGTCCTGGCCTCGTCTCAGTAGTTCCTCTGGGCCAGGCGACGGCCGGAGACCTGCGACTGGCCCGCGGCCTTCTCGGACTGAGCTCAAGTCGGGCATGTCCCTCTACAGGGGGCATCTTCAAACCTATCAAAACATAGATAGCCTGGGGACTCAACTTCTGTTCAGTTGTTGTTTTTGCTACGCTTGAAGTTTGCTTGGTTATTTCTCATGCTTTCGCCCAGAGTCATCCTGCATGGGGGACATGCCCGACCTGCAACTCTCAGGAGGAAAAAAGAAACACACCGACACAACTAATCCTCGATCTCCCAGAAAGTATGGGGAACATAGGGGAAGTGGGCGGGAAGACAGAAACCCAGGAAATATGGGAAAATATTTGGGATTATTTTATTTGTGTGTATTTATATTCAGGCTTACGCCACACCGCCGACCCCTTGTTTTTTTGGGAGGCAATCTTGGACGTCTTGGGGGCGTCATGGCCCGACTTTATCCCCCGCATTCCTATCGTCGTCGTCTTTGCTCCTCCTCCAAGTAGTCGGCCCATCCCGCCACCGTGCCTGAGTTGTGGTTCAGAGGCCTCTCAGATATTCGTTGGGATCTCGTGAGAAGCCTCTCGGGGGCCTGCTGGAGGCAGTTTGGAGGCACCTGGGGAGCTGTTTTGGGGCTTATTGTGGCCTTTATTTTATTTGTGTGTATTTGTTGGTGTGTCCTTGGGCCCCTTCAAACTGCGCCGCCCCTCGGGCGAGCCGCGCTCGCCCCCGCTGGCGGCCGCCGAGGGCCGCCGCGCGGCGGCTGCGGCGTCGGGCCCGGCCGGGGCGGCCTGGGCCTCGGGCGGGGCCCCCGAGGAGCCGCGGCGCTCGAGCGCGCGGAGTCGGGACGCCCTCGGCCCTGCGGCGGCTCCTCCTCCTTCCTTCCTCCTCCTCCTCCTCCTCCTCCTCCTCCTCCTCCTCCTCCTCCTCCTCCTCCTCCTCCTCCTCTCCCCCTCCTCCTCCTCCTCCTCCTCCTCCTCCTCCTCCTCCTCCTCCTCCTCCTCCTCCTCCTCCTCTTTCTCCCCCCTCTCCTCGTGTTTCTCTTTCGCCACCCGGGGCGCAGAAAGGGGTTCGCTTGTGCACACAACGGTCCTGCGGAGTCGGGACCCCCTCGAGCAATGAACAAATCATCACGGGCGGTTTTTCCAAATTTTCGGCCTCCGGGGGCCCTCACCGGGCCTCGGGGGCGTCAAAAAACGAGTCAGGATGCAAAGCCGGTCATGGGGAAAGGGTCGGGACCTCTGGGGGTCGACGCAATGAAAAAATCATAACGTCGGGGGTCTGGGGAGGAGGCCTGGCCCTGTCTTTGAGCAGGCCGCCGAAGAGTGCCAGCCAGGACACATATCCCTATCCCTATGCTGGGCATCTCCTCCTCACGATGCCAATCCTAGGGGTTCCCTTGTTTTTTGAGGGCGGTTCCCTAAGATTGCCATCGCCTTTGGGCGTGTCAATCTTAGGGATAGGGATACGTTCGAGGTTGGTAAGAAGAGTACAATGTTTAAGTCGGGCCTGTCCCTTTACGGGAGGAGTGTTCAAACAGCAGCGGCGGCGGGGCGAGGGCAGGTGGCGGCGGCGGGGCGAGGGCAGGGAGGCCTCCCCGCGCGCAGCGGCCGCCAGGACCCAGGGCTGCGAGACTGTAGTTGTGCTCGCCCCCGGCGGCTTCGAGGCGGCCGGCTGGCAGCAGGCTGCCCAGGCGTGCGCGGTTGGCGAGCGGGGGAGGAGAGCAAGGAGGAGGAGGAGGAGAAGGAGGAGGAGGAGGAGGAGGAGAAGGAGGGGGAGGGGGAGGAGGGGGAGGAGGAGGAGGAGGAGGAGGACGAGGAGGAGGAGGAGGAGGAGGAAGAGGAGGAATAATAATAAGCATATTTCTACGAATAAGAATAATAATACTAATACTACGAAGAAGAATAATACGAATAATAATAATAATCATACTACGTATAATGACAATAATAAATGAGAAAAGTAATGATAATATGAAGAATAATAAGAATAGTAATACTAAGAAGAATAAGAAGAGGAGGAGGAGGAGGAGGAGGAGGAGGAGGCGGAGGGGGACGAGGCGGAGGAGGCGGAACAGCGAGGAGGGCAGGGGATTCGTCTAGACCGATCAACCCTAAAGTGTGCACAACTCGATGGCCGACGGTGTGGAGGACGCCCCCCCCCCCCCCAGGCCTATCCTGGGCGATGGGGGCTACCTCATGAACTGTAGCCCAGAAGGGCATACCGAAACCGTAGCTGAGAACTTCTGGTTCCCGATAAATGCCGAAACCGTACCTAATCACGGCAGGGCAAGGGTAATTAGGGGGGCGAGGAGGATGAGGAGAGTAGCAGGTTGGAGCCGGCTGGGGTCCGTGGCGGCCCAGCCATGGTTCCGGCGAGCAGGAGGGGGGAGGGGGGGTCGGGAAGGTCTTTGTTGTCTTTCTCAGCCTCCGCGGGCCCTGTTCGGGCCGCGGGACCGCCGAAAACTGATCTGGGGTCAGAAAAATGCACCGGATGAGCCCGGGGCGGGGGGACCGATTTCGCGCGGATTCTTGGCAGCATCCCCCCCTGCGGGCCGATTTCCTGGGGCCCCGGCCAGCGCAGACCCCCCGGCCGACTCCGAGGGGCGAGGAGGGGCCCAAGCCCAAGAGGCGCACCCGCAGCGGGAGGCGGAGGAGGACGGGGGGCGGGAGCTGCAGCACGCCTCGGGGCGGTGGCCGCGGAGTGGCCGCAGCTGGGGCAGCCAGAAGGTGCCGATGCCGCTACTCCCTGGGGGCTCCAGGGGGTCCAAAATTGAGGGCCCCAGGGGCTCCAAAACTGAGCGAAAAAATTGGGGCACCTTGGGCCAGGGGCACCTATGGCAGACGCCGGTCTAGAGACATCCCGCTACTGCCCGGACCTCTCCTGGGGCACGTTCTGACCAGAACCCCGAGGCGAACCCAACGGTGGCGACGAGTGCCTCCGAGGAGGCCCACCAAGGGGGAAAGCGGGCGAAGGGTAGAGGTACGGGTGCCTTATCCTCCTCCCGAGCAGCGGGGGCGGAGGTCGGGTCGGAGCGGAGGCGCACCCGAGCAGCGAGCGGGGGGCCGCGCGGAGCTCCGGGGGTCCGTGGCGGGTGCGGCTGCTTGCCCGCAGGTGTGCGGGTGGCGCTCCAGGAGAGGCCGGGCCTGCGAGGGCAGACGCAATGAGTCGTCGACTCCCAGGAAAAGATGGGAAACTATGGGAAGTGGGGGGGGAGACAAAAACCCCGAAAATATAGGGAGTCCTGCAATCTGTGTGTGTGTATTTATTTGTGTGTGTCCCAGGGCCCCTTCAGGGTTGGCAGTCTCCGCCTCGGCGGGAAGGCGGCGGGAGGCGGCAGAGGGGAGACAGGAGCGGCCTCGCCAGTGGAGGCGGGCGGAAGTCGGCGGAAGTAGACGTCAGCCCCCCAAGAGACGACAGGTTTCTGGTCCAGGGCTTCTGGAGCCCGCCATGTGAGCGACGCAGGAGTAGTGTGTCGTCTGCACCGGCGTTGGCTCGGAAGCTGCCCGGGGAAGGTCGCGCGTAAGCGCTCCCGCTTCCAATGCAGCGTGCCGAGCTGGCGGCCCGCGGATTCCGCGGCGTGAGGTCGCTACGTCATATCGCGTCAGACCCGTTGTTTTGCGAGGCGTCGTGGTTTACCTGTAGCGAAGGATATTCTAAGAACCTTTTGCGGGTTGCGCCGGATGTTTTCGAGTTACCACGTCGGTTTGTCGGTGTAATTAGAGCATTCCGCTGTTCGAAGAAAATTGAGTGGTAGGTCCATAGGAGCCCTCCTTCCGTTCCATCTTCCAGTCGACGGGGTTTCAAGCTGGTTCGCTTTTCAGTTCCCGTTTGTTGCCCTGACTCGCTGCTTTGTGTATCCAGTGTGGGAGGTTACGGCCATCCACCGGAGTACCATGATCCCATGCGGGGGGGCCTGCAAGTGCTTTCGACTGGCTTCCCATCGCGAAGCTAATGCCACGCGGCAGCTGCCCACTCGAGCGAGTTCTGACGTTGGGGATTCGTGGCTGGCTTGAGCAAGAGAAGCAGAGGCCACGCATCCAGAAGGGCGCGTCGGCAGACTCGAGGTTGCACCGTTGGCAACCGAGTGGAAAACACAAGGCACACATCGAACACTCTGACTGTAGGAGGGATGATGAGGAGGAGGAGGAGGAGGAGGAGGAGGA